GTCTATTATTTGGGTTTCTAGAGTTATCCCTAGGATATTCATCCCTATATTGGTTGTTATCCTCTAATCGATCGTCTTCGAGTTTAGTGACTCGTGTGCTAAAATCTTCTAGAGTGTTCAAGATTTTATCTAAAGTTTCATTTATATTCGATTCGGCCATATAGATCGTTCCGCTACGTAACCGCATACAATTAGCAACCTATAATAGAAAATAATTGAAAAGAAAAAATTAAACTAAACTACAATTTTTTTCTCTTTTTTTAATTACCTAACCTAGAAATAAACGGTCCTAAAAATTAAGTTCTTCTAAAAGCAAATTCGATTAAATCAAGTTAACTAGAAATAAAGCCTTTTCTAAAATTGAAAAAACAAAAAAAAAGTTTTTTTTATTAAAGTAAAACTGACCTATATCTTAGGTTGGGGGTGGTGGAAGAGGCCTAGCTGCATTTAAGATCTTGACCCAAAGTTTGTGGAAACATGAGTTACTACAATCAGGATTAACATCATTGATATGACACTCCTCACACTTCATAATGATAATTATTTTTGTTTGGTTGCTAATGATTTTAAACCTAGGTTCTGATACCAATCTAACGTAGCACGATCTATCGAAAATAGAAAAAGTGACTAAACGTAACTATTATGCAAAGTAAACACAGACAAACACTAAAATTGTAGCGGAATAATAACTTTAAATAATGAAATCTAATAAATTAACGGTTGACAGTAATAACCGAAGCAAGATCACAGCAAATAACGAACGCGTTCGACATAAACCTGTGGTGTGAGAAGTCAAGCACGGTACACAAATCGTAGTCCAACATGCAGCAACTGGACTCGACAACTTAATAACCAGATCCTGCAGTGGAGTTCAATACACAAATTAGTCCCAAATAAGAGCAATAGAATAATAGCTTCAGTTTAGCACTGTTTACTAATGAAAATAAGAAGATTAATCGCAGGTATAGGTCTGAAGTCTTGGTGAATCTGATTGGGATCTTGAGGCAGCGGGGTTGAGGTTTTGTGGCTGGTTAGTTCAGTTTCAGGCAGCAGGCGATGGCTATGGCGAGGGCTTGTGACTGAGGGCTGGTTGGTGTTGATGGCGAACGAATGAAAGACGGGGATGATAGCTGAAACTGCAAACCTATTCCTTGTGCAAAACAGAAGAGATGATGATGGAGTTTGGGTCCCTGCGATGTATCTATGAAGAGGAGATAGCGTGATAACGAAACGAACGCAGGAAAAAAGAGAAAGAAATAAAGAAAATACTGGAATCACTCCAAATACCAATTCAAACTCACGTTTATTTTCAATCGTCCTTCCTCAAAGCAAGCAGAGTTCTATCTTTTATACAGATAGGATAAACAAACTCAAACTTATCTACAAGATTGAATCTCATCTAAATACAATCTGATTTAACTACCTTATCATCTAACAAAGATAAAATCTGAAAACAAACATAATCCTATCCTAACAAGGAATCTGAATGCAGATAAAATATGACAACAACCATTGTTTTAAAAAGCCTCCGCTTAGTCCGCCTAGGCGTACACCTAGACCTAGGTGGTATCTAGGCTGCCTAATTAGCGTCTAGCGTCAAGGCGGTACCTAGGCTGTCCACCTAGGTTTTTAGGGTGTTTAGGGGAATATTGTCTGCTTACGTGGACTACACCCTTTAGACATTGATCATAATTTTCTGTGTTATAGCCTCAACGTTCTCCAACCTCCTTCAAACTCCTTTAACTTCTAAATATGAACACCCACACTACCTTCTCCGACCTTTAGTAAAAACCTCCTCGATCACCCTTTAATTGTAGAAAGAAATCCGCCTAGATACCAGTCTGTCACCTAAACTTTCTATAACATTGATATTTACTATCAATTATTATAATTAAAAAATAAAAAAAGGAAACCTACTAGGCTCTAAGCGTCAGGTCCAGTGTCTGGCCTCCTAGCGCTTTCTATAATCTTATTAGTTATTATTTTGGCTATTTAGTATATAAATATGCATGGTTTACTGTGAATCTAAGGTTGCTACCTTTTTTTACAAATTTATATGAATTTAATACGTATTTTTATCAATTATTATAATTAAATAATTTTAAAAATAGCTAAACGTCTAGACGCCGCCTAAGAATCTAGGCGGTGCTAGGCATTGGCTCAAACACCTAGTCTGCCTAGCACCTTCTGTAACATTGAAAACAACACAATCCTTTCCTAACAAGAACTCTTAAGATATCTCTAATAATTTATCTACGATGCCAAGTGCCCCTGGAGTAGAACTGGATATTGTGATCCCTATCAAAAGTTCTGATTTGACTACGTTGTGGGTTATCTATGACTGATAAATGACAAACTTGTCCGGTCCCTAACCTGTAATTATAATTCTCTTAAGGTGCTTGACCTTTAGTAATGTTTTGTCTTCAACAGGCACTGGTCCAAGCTCATATTTAACAAAATTACTTCTTTTTTCAGTTGAAACCCGAGAATTTTCTTCACTCAATTCAGTAACTCAATAATGACCTGTATAAAGCATATAAATGAAGAGGTAACCGTATAACCTCCACAAATTTTAGTGTTTTTTTGGTGGACCTATAGCCTGGACATAACAATATATCTTTAAGTGTGGCTTTATATTAATCCTCATTTGCATGAAAAAACTGGAAGAATACATGATTTATCTTGTTGAAGAAGAAAAACAAGTAAAACGAAAAGGAGAAATGGGAGAAGAGGGATGTATTTACTAAAATATATGCATAAGAGATGCAGATCATACAAATGAAAAACATTCCTAATATCTAGCATATGCTTATTGGGCAATTATAAGCTCTAAACCATGAATAACTTAACCTTATGATCTGAATTTATCTAATGAAAAGAGCCGCTTAGGCTGTTACTTTATAGTGCGCATACTTTTAATTTATTTTAAGAGTTTAATATGTTATGCGAATTGTTATCATCTGGTTCAGGATGTTATAGTTTCAGGATCCAATTACAACCTTTTTTTAAAACTTTTTAAAAAGTAATATGTTATTTTCTTGTGTATATGTAATGTGTAATATGTGGCTTAAAACATAAAACTGTCAGGAGTACAAAAGTAGCTGAAGCCCAAAAATCTAGGAGGAACTTATACTAAAAACTGAGCTTGCACTCCTTGGGTGAAACGTTTCTTCAAGACTTCAATTGGCTCCTGCCAACGTCGCACTTGAACCTCTGTAATTCTCTTTCCTGTATACAATTCATCACCAACAACAAATGAAGAAAAAGATAAAAAAGGAAAGAAGACAGAAAGGGAACCCAGTGAATGAAATATCACTAAAAGATAGGTTGCAATGATCCTTCCACTTCGACCTTGTCTTTGCTTTCTGCATGCAAGATGATCCTTAACTGATTTAGTAGATTAGGTTTTAGATTTGCTAATATACATTACTCGTCTACAAAACGTCATCATAAGCTTTTTGACAGTATGGTTGAATGTGCACTTTCAAAGGAACTTGTTCAAGAATTTGACTAATTGCTCATTTAAAAAAAAAAGATACCATAGTTGGAGGATTCATGATGTGCCAGTGCACCAAGACACCTGGGATGGATTTTGTATGGGATCCATCTCTATTGAATAAAATTACTTCGCATATTTCCAATAAATTCCTCCACCTCTTACAATGATTTCAGAGTTTTATTTGGACCTATCACGTCAATTTTCTGATTTGTAGCATCAAGTTCATATGGCAAATCTTGATTCATGTGTCTCAGAAATCTTCTCTTTTATCCCAAAGTCAAGTAGAACTAACCAAACTCATTCCAAGTTTGAATTTCATCTAAATCTACATCCAAGAATGATTTTAACCCAAGTTCAATTATGCAAGTAGAACTAACCAAACTCATTCCAGGTTTGAATTTCATCTAAATCTACATCCAAGAATGATTTTAACCCAAGTTCAATTATGCACGTATAGGTTTATACTCATTCTTCAATTAAATTAATTTGTATTGGTTCATATTTCATCCCAAGCCTAGGACAACGAAGCAACTAACATGAGGTTTCATACTGCCCAATTATTGTTGGGGCAGTCAAGATATTTCATCAAATCATCATATCGCTGGAGATTCATGATTCATGTTATAGCTAGGGATTTGAAACATAAACCATTACAAATCAGTAATTGTTAGAATGTATATGCTTAAATTGTTGACTTGGGTCTGGTATCTGGTATGTTTTTCAGCCAAGAGTATCCTTAAGCTATTTAGTGGATCAGGTTTTCTTATAGCTCACATCTAAGTTGCACCATGCTGGGGTTCTCCATATCCTTGTCCAACACATGTCGGCACCTACATGTAATACTAGATCCTCAGTGAATACATGTCCGCAAGATGGTCTACTTGGGAAGTTTAGCTTTTAGTTATATGCTTTATATTGTTAGATATCTCGAGTTTGTATGAAATTATATTCAGACAATTTGTTTATGAAACTTGATGTTATAGTATATCCTCGTCTTAACGTTTTATCTATGTTTATACACTCTTGTATATACTATCGTTTTGTGGCTATGTCCATGGAATACCCTAATTCTAGTCTTTCTACGATTTTGTATGTCCACGTATCCATGCCTTGTCATGTCCATGCCCCGTTTTTATGCCTGTGCAACATACAGATTATCAGCAGATGCCATCTTTACAATAACCTGTTTTAATTCCCCATCATCCGATCAGAAGCTCTGACAGACTCATGCTTTATTTCTCTTGTAAGTTGAGAACCGTACATGTTTAAAGAGGAAGATGGAAGAACATGAGACATTTGTTTCTCCTTTTAGATTGTTATCTCCGGTTCATAACGAATCAATGCAATGGTTTTTTTTAATGGATCAATTCAGCAGTTATATCTTTATTTTAGGAGATGTATTAGGACCAATGCTATATTGAAGTTATGATATCTCTCCTTGTCTTGAAGTGTAACTTTTCTTTGTGGAATCTAATGTTTTATCCTGATTCTAAATTTATAGATATTCACTTTGTCAGCAGTACCATTTGAGAAGATGTCATATGTCATTGAAGGATGCCTCTCTGTTTTAAAGCCTGGGTGTTTGCTTCTATTCAGAGACTATGGTATTGTCCTACTCTTGATTCACCAGAAAGCATGTTGTGACTGGATTATTGTTTTCAAATCTTTGTTGATTAGGACTAGCTATGGAATTCTAGTAGTTTTGCCATCTTTTAGTTGTAATATTTTAATGGTAGCTAAATTGCTTTATAATTGCAGGACTTTATGACATGACGATGCTTCGGTTTCCACCTGAACAAAGGTTGGGATTCAGGGAGTACATGAGGTCAGACGGTACTCTTTCTTATTTCTTTTCACTGGAAATTGTGCGGGACCTTTTCCTTCATGCTGGATTCATAGAGGTAACATATTGTCATTGCCAAAGTTACAATATCCATTTTTTTACTGTACATGATCTTTGCAGTGGAGCATATTTGAACGACTGTCTTTTCCTAGTTAACGGGATCACTATTGTGCATAGCAGCTTGCTTATAATGTTCATGGAAGATATGTCTATGGTTGTTCCATACATCAGTTTAACTTTCTAAGCATGTTTCTAGCTTAATTCAATTCATTATGCCCTTATAATACACAAATCTTTTCTTTTACTTAAATAATGTTCCTGCATAAAGCTGTGAGAAGCACTGTTGATATAATATTAATCTCAAGTAACAACATCTGGAAGAACACATTGATTCAAATTGGACTGCAGAATAATTGGATTTTGAGAGGAAAACACAGGAAGATCAGGTAAATACATCCAAAATTTGTACAATGCAATTCACACATATGCATGCCCTATGCAGCATGGGTTTTGTACCCGTACTAGACAGTCTGGACTCGTACCAGACACCGAAACTTCCTTGGATAGTCGTGGATACGTGAATGTACTTATTCAAACGTAACTTCAATTTTAGAATGCTTGTTTGAATTTAACACTTGGACACTTATTTCACATATATCTCACACATTACATTTACTTTGTTATTCATATTAATGTTTGTGACATCTATTTATTTTCATTTATAAACCAAAGGCTATAGTGGAAAAAATTATTGCTTTTGTTAAAATAAGTTTATATATGTGTACCTTTATGTATAAAGTTGAAGAGTCAAGTCATGTTCCTTTTACAAAGTAATAATAGTGTATGGTAGGTCAAAAATTTAGCATATACATAATCATCTAACGTGTGTGGTCTCACAAGTTCCATGCACTTGTACTCTTAGACCATAAATATCCTAATCTGATTTCTCGTATAACTGCTTTTAGATTGCAAATATGGTGTTACTTGTTATACCTCAGACATTTATTTTTACCAAAGCTAGATGTCTACTATTTTCCTGAAGTCTATTTAGGCTATTTATTGATTGCTAAAAAATGTTTCATGCTTTCATTAGGAACTTTTGGTTGACTTCAGGTGAAAATGATAAT